CATAATCTTTTCTTTTTAGTTATAAAATACTAAAGTAATGCTAACATTTAAATTGAAATGTGCAAAAAAAAAAAAAAAAACACTTGAAAGTGTTACATATTTTCCTGCATGGTTAATTTCTGTTATAAATTCTTCAGAAACTGTTGTAATGGTAAATTGTAAAAAATTCAGTCACTAACCGTAATTAAGACTCATGAAAACGCCAAAACTGAGGCTCAGACTGCTCCAAGTTTGTAATTTTCTTCTAGTCTTCTGTACACTGTTAATTTAAAACAATGTAAGCAAACTACCGTTTATTCCTCCTATGTTAGAGAGCTATACCAAAGGGAGGTAATTTGAAGCAAAAAAGACAGAAAATTATGGATTTAAATCAGTTATCATATATAAATGCTTTAGTTGCCTGCAGATTTTTTTTCTTGATTCTTCTAGGACAAATACTGTTTAATATATATTTTATGTTGATAAGCTTTAATGTGGTTGTAGATTTCTTATAGAGTACTGCAAATTTGCTGTTTTTTAAATCAAAATAAACCTCCAAAAACTAGTTTTATTTATCAAAAGGTGAAGAGAATTTCAATAATCAACAGTTGTTAAAATAGAGTATTTTTAGATAAACAGAATAATAATCTAAAAAGGTTTTATTGATGACTAGAAATAAAAAAAATATGTGTTTAACCATAAATTCAAGTGTCATGATAAAGTACAAAACACGCTATTTGAAAGGCGCGTGGTTTCCATAGCAACAATGCGAAAAATTATTTTTGGCTTGCTTTTTTCTATTATACCCTTTGTTCTGAAAATTTATATATGAGTTTTAACCAAATCTGTTTCTATGCCACTTTCCACATTTTTTAACAATGTACGATGCTTGCTGATTTTGACTCTTAAGTATATAGATATTTTCAACACGCAATGTCGTTTCTAAAATGTGCTGCGATCCTGTCTAAATTCAGCGATTTCATTGTTAAAATTATAATTGTATGATCAAATGCTATATTTTTTGCTGGTCAACGGCATGGAATATTGATATTATTAAATTGTTTTTAAGATTTCATCAGGATAGCAGCACTTTTCAGATACTTTAATAGTTCTATAGTTGAAATGTAAATTTAAAGCTTACTTTGATCCATAAAGTGTATGCCCTTGCACTAGATTAATTTATTAAGACCCCCTACATTACCCTCCGATGTACTTGCATACAAATATACGGCAGTGTCAATTAAATACGTAATTTACAGAAAATATATTAATAAAATAGTGAAGAAGACATTAAATTGAAGTAATTGGCCCATAGAATATCTGTAAATAATATTTATTTAATTAGAGAATACATATTTTGTTGACAAAATATTACTTGATTTGTCTCTCACTGTTTACAAACTACGTCACGTTGTAAGAAATGACGTCATATTGACGTCGTTTATTGCGATCAGTGACTTGTTTTTAACCTGTTGTTTGGGATTTAACTAACGACAAAACAACACGCTGTAGTAAGTTTTTCCGTATTTTGATGATTTCTTACTGGTTAAATTAGCAGATAAACTCATTAGTGGTATTTTAAAGAAATGATGTAGGACGTATAATATGTATGATGTCATAGTCAAGTTTTCCCGTACAAATTAGACTCCGCCTTCCTTTTTGTAACCTTAACTGTGCTGCGATTCTATAAAAATCAAGGATCCTAATCGCTTATCCTCATTTCTCTCTACATAGCGTAATGGAATTTGAAATACTTTCGTAGATCTTTTATTTCATAATGCCATTGAGTACATTTTATTTAATTTCTAACCAGACACTTACTTTGGGTCACCCAAAGCAAAACACAAATTTTTCCAATAAAATTATATTGGAGGCGTGGATTATCATACAAGGGCTGCTCAATAAATAATGTCCTCGGTGCTCAGATAGAAGCAAACGACACTTTTCAATGATTTGGTCCTAATGATTTTACATATGAGTCTCTTTTAATTCAAACACATTTCCATAACATTTTTATCCAATTTCTGATTGTTATTAGCACTCAATTTTGGGTATTACCCTTAATATACTGAAAAAAAAAAATGACAGATCCAATCATTTCCCGGACTTGGTTTCTCCTTCTGAAAGGTATTTTTGTCAAATTTGGAAATAGAAACAAGTCGAAAGATTATAGATCTGGCAATATTGTAAATGTGAAAAAAAAAACGTTAAGGACACTCTTTACACAAGTGCCATTTTTTTGGACATTGAAAAAAATATATTGTGTAAAGGAGTTAATATTGAGCTTATTTATTTAATTTTCACTGTATGGTGCGTGGCACTTACCCCTGGGAAAAATGTTCAAAGACAAAGCAGTATTAGTGAATAGAAATCACTGTTAATTACTTCAGTTGAGAAACTGTATGTAAATAAAACGTTCAATTAATTTATCTTGGCCTTTTGAAATGTTAAGACAACTTAAATGAATTTCAAGTTGAGTAATATATTGTAAATTGCTATTTTTTAGAATTTAGATCTAAGGACAGATCACTCTAACTGCAGAAAAATACCTTACAATCAGCACTCTTTAGTGTGCAGTATAGATAGGGTTCTTAACTTTCTGTTTATCCCAGTAACCCCTTTACTCTTCAGGGCATGCGGTTTGGACCCTGTCATTAAGAAATTCAATGCAGTGGATTCCTGATTCTGGGTCCTTCCTCTAACAAATCTTTCGATTTTTGTGCAAGAATTGCTTTCTAGACTCCTCCAGGTATTAAATTGTCTCCTCAAATACGAATTTGAACAAAAATACCACTAAAATTTAAGGATATTGCATATAAATCTGTCTTTGTGCTTTTGCATACCTTTGCTCTTGTCAGACCTTCGCCGTTTTTATTAAGTTCATCTCATAGTAAATTTTGCTTTGGTGATTAAAAAAAAATCATTATAATGTGTGTGTTTGAAGGGGGGGGGGTGTTATACATGTATTAATATATTCTTCTCGGACCGGGAGAACAATTATATATATATATATATATATATATATATATATATATATATATATATATATATATATATATATATATATATATATATATATATATATATATATATATATATATATTTATTTAAAAGTAAAAATCCAAAAATATCACAAAACATTTACTGCAAGCGCTTTCGCCATGTTCGGCTCTTCAGGCAGTTATACAAATGTCAGGTAGGTTACCTGGTAACGTCAAAAGCATAAAGTTCATTGTGACGTCATAATAGATGTAGGTAGCGTTAAGTTGGCGTAATTGTTAATGTACAAATCTTGCACTAACTTTCACACATTATACAAATGAAATTTCAAAATATAAAATATACAGTATCATTTCCGATTAAGTTTGGGTTTAAAGAGGTTGATAAAAAAGTCTTCTTTTGCCAAACGTAAATTTTCGTTTTCACTTGGAAGTTTATAAAAAGGGAAAATCTTAAATATTCCTTTGCCACATTTTGCGAAATGGTGTATTACGCACACTAGGGTCTTTAATTTGTTGCTTGTGCACACGAACCCTGGCATTTAATTTTCCCGTTTGTCCAATATAATATTCTTTACACGTCGGACAGATGGCACAGTAGATGACGTTTTCCGATTTACAGTTCATAGATGAGTTGGTTCGAATTTCCATTCCTGATTTAAGTTGGATTTTATTCCCCTCTTCTAAATATGTACATGTTCCGCATCTCGGATCTCCGCATTTTTTAATGGTTGGAATTTCCTCCTGTGTTGTAAAACGGGCCTTGGTCAACAGTTTTTTAAGACTTGGTGCTTGTCGTCGACTGTTTATGATATCATTTGGCTGAACTAAACTTTTCATGTTTTCCGATTGTTCTAAAATGGGATAAAATCTTTTAGCGTCCATAAGGATGTTTCTGTTCCTTGGGTTATGGGTAACTACAAAGGCTATTTTCCCGTCATCATCGGTGTCGTCTATATGGCGTGGATTTCTTAGGTCCTCTATTGGAATTTCGGATGCCTTTTCTATTCCAATGTTTATTAGATCCAATGGATAATTTTGCCGTCTTAAATATAGTTTTAATTCTTCCAAACGTCTACATCGTAGGGTTTCATCTGTAATAATTGTACAAATTCTCCGTGCTAAATTAAACGGAATATTACGTTTTGTGTGGGATGGGTGGCACGATCTAAAATCCAAATATTGGTGCGTGTCCGTGGGTTTACAGTACAAGTCTGTAGTTATACACGATCCATTCTTTATAATAAGAAGATCTAAAAATGGAAGTTCCGTACTACTTTTTTCTATAGTAAATTGTATGGAATCATGGAGGTTATTTAGAAGTGAATGGAATTTAGTTAAGTCTTCTTCACTCCTGGTCCAAAATATGAAGCAGTCGTCTAGGTAACGTTTCCAATTATCCTTTATCAGCTTCTTTTATGATTATGGATGAATCATTCCGTAGATCCTGTATTGCATTTTGTTGGGATTTAGATATATTACTTTTTGTCCTCGTTTCTTCTTTGTTAGAGTGAGCAGATACGGATGAATTTTGTCGCAAATAACGTTTAAGAGAATATTTTCAAAATTCTCCATATGATGATGAATCCCTTGTTAGAAACAAAAAAGGATTTAGACCGCCGATAAACAGAGACAAACATTTAGAAGAATTTATAACATGTCTTAAGTCTTCTGCTCACTCTAACAAAGAAGAAACGAGGACAAAAAGTAATATATCTAAATCCCAACAAAATGCAATACAGGATCTACGGAATGATTCATCCATAATCATAAAAGAAGCTGATAAAGGAGGCGCTGTTATTATTATGGACAAACCCCATTATAAGGAAATGGTACTGAACGAACTTGAGAACTGTCGGTTTTATAGAAAATTAACAGCCAACGAAGATCGTCACACAATGCTCAAGGTTGAGAAATTAACTAAAAAATATGCCGACAATTTAACAAAAAATGAAATTGATTTCTTAACTAACTTTGAATTGAAATCCAGTAATTTCTATGGATTACCAAAAGTCCACAAATCTAAGGAGATCCAGGAAGCTGTGAAAAATTGTGATGACGCATATATAAAAATATCCCAACCTGCTGACCTTAAAATACGTCCGATCATCGCTGGACCTGCATCAAGCACCCAACGACTGAGTAATTTATTGGACATTTTATTGAAACCACTATGCAAATTATTACCCAGTTTCGTAAGAGATGATATGGATTTTCTGAATTATATTCCCCAAAATGTAGACCCAAACACTATTCTCGTCAGTTTTGATGTTACAAGTTTGTACACAAATATCCCACATATTTTGGGACTGGAAGCAGTTAGTTACTGGATAGACAAACATCCGGATATTATAAATGAACGATTCCCAAAAGAATTCATTTTAGAAGGACTGAAGATAGTGTTGGAAAATAACCATTTCCATTTTAACAATGAGTTCTACCTACAAATAAAAGGAACCGCCATGGGGACAAAAGTTGCTCCCTCATACGCAACTTTAGTGATGGGATATTTAGAAGATCAACTATATGGAAAAATACCTGAACTGTTTGATGTCGACTTTGCTAACTACATAAAAAATAATTGGAAACGTTACCTAGACGACTGCTTCATATTTTGGACCAGGAGTGAAGAAGACTTAACTAAATTCCATTCACTTCTAAATAACCTCCATGATTCCATACAATTTACTATAGAAAAAAGTAGTACGGAACTTCCATTTTTAGATCTTCTTATTATAAAGAATGGATCGTGTATAACTACAGACTTGTACTGTAAACCCACGGACACGCACCAATATTTGGATTTTAGATCGTGCCACCCATCCCACACAAAACGTAATATTCCGTTTAATTTAGCACGGAGAATTTGTACAATTATTACAGATGAAACCCTACGATGTAGACGTTTGGAAGAATTAAAACTATATTTAAGACGGCAAAATTATCCATTGGATCTAATAAACATTGGAATAGAAAAGGCATCCGAAATTCCAATAGAGGACCTAAGAAATCCACGCCATATAGACGACACCGATGATGACGGGAAAATAGCCTTTGTAGTTACCCATAACCCAAGGAACAGAAACATCCTTATGGACGCTAAAAGATTTTATCCCATTTTAGAACAATCGGAAAACATGAAAAGTTTAGTTCAGCCAAATGATATCATAAACAGTCGACGACAAGCACCAAGTCTTAAAAAACTGTTGACCAAGGCCCGTTTTACAACACAGGAGGAAATTCCAACCATTAAAAAATGCGGAGATCCGAGATGCGGAACATGTACATATTTAGAAGAGGGGAATAAAATCCAACTTAAATCAGGAATGGAAATTCGAACCAACTCATCTATGAACTGTAAATCGGAAAACGTCATCTACTGTGCCATCTGTCCGACGTGTAAAGAATATTATATTGGACAAACGGGAAAATTAAATGCCAGGGTTCGTGTGCACAAGCAACAAATTAAAGACCCTAGTGTGCGTAATACACCGTGTTGTGAACATTTCGCAAAATGTGGCAAAGGAATATTTAAGATTTTCCCTTTTTATAAACTTCCAAGTGAAAACGAAAATTTACGTTTGGCAAAAGAAGACTTTTTTATCAACCTCTTTAAACCCAAACTTAATCGGAAATGATACTGTATATTTTATATTTTGAAATTTCATTTGTATAATGTGTGAAAGTTAGTGCAAGATTTGTACATTAACAATTACGCCAACTTAACGCTACCTACATCTATTATGACGTCACAATGAACTTTATGCTTTTGACGTTACCAGGTAACCTACCTGACATTTGTATAACTGCCTGAAGAGCCGAACATGGCGAAAGCGCTTGCAGTAAATGTTTTGTGATATTTTTGGATTTTTACTTTTAAATATACCAAAAACTGTACCGATTCTTCATTTTGTTTTGAAATTATATATATATATATTTGTATATATATATAAAGATATATATATATAGATAAATCCAAGAAAAATCAGAGTGGTCGGTGATAAATATGAAAATTATTTTAAATAAATAAAAACATAGAGAACGAGTAAAACATAAGCGCTTTCATTTCTTCTTCATGATGTTTTACAATACTCATGGTAACGTCTATTATGACGTCATAATAACTTAACGTTAACAAGTATTTGATTGACGTCATATTTTTCCCGTACTTTAACAGAACAATGCATTAACAAAGCATACGATAACAAAGCAATGAATGTGACTCAGTAACATAATTTACATGTAAAGAAACAATTCTTTTACATTAAACTATTTAATTTAGGTTTGAAAGTCCTTATAAAATGTCTTTCTTTATCACGTCTTTCGACTGTATTAGAATTGTGCAGCTTATAAAATGGAAAGACAGTAAAAGTTCTATTTCCGCACACGTCTAAGTGTTCACTGACTTTGAGTTTGCGATATTGCGGTACGTTTATTTGTTGTTTGTGTACTCTGATCCTTTCCCGTAAGGTACTTCCCGTCTCGCCGATATATAGTTCCCCGCAACCGGAACATGTTATAACGTATATAACATTTCTAGTTTGACATGACATGTTATTATTAACGATAAACTGTTTCCCGTTAAAGTTGAAACTTTGTCCTTGTCGTATGTATGGGCAGGTACCACAACGCGGATCCTGGCACTTGGTCACATGAAATTCTGTCGTTTCTTTAAAAGAGGACTTTGTGAGAATTCGTCTGAGGTTCTTCGGCTGCCTCCTACTGTTTATGAATTTCCGATTTTTAAATATTTTAGACATAGTTTCGTCGGTTTTCAAAATGTCGTTGAGTTGGTAAACAATCGGTGCAACGTTTGTATTCTGGGGATTATGGGTCGTTACTAAAGGCAAGATCCTGGAATCCGTCTTGTTTTGTTGCACAGGGTTGAGGAGATCCTCTCTGTCTAAATCCATGGCTTTTTTAATAGCATTATCAATAATTTTTTCGGGATAACTTTGTTTCCGTAGATACTCTTTCAGTTCTTGTAGTCTTTGTATTTTGGTTGTTTCCTTATTTACGATGGTGCATATTCTCCTTGCTAAATTATAAGGGATGGCTCTTTTTGTATGCCGTGGATGGCAAGAATTAAAATGAAGATACTGATGCGTGTCTGTTGGCTTGTAATAGATATCTGTCAAAATGACATCGTTTTCCTTAATTACCATGATATCCAGAAATGGAATTCTATCTGTACTTTCCTCCGCTGTAAATCTTATATCAGGATTAAGTTCATTCAGTAATGTTTTAAGGTTACTTGTTACTGTATTTCCAAACAATAAAACAGTCGTCCAGATATCTTTTCCAGTTGTTAGTAATATAAAGTTTCACCTCTTTGTTGAATTGCTCTTCCACTTTCTTATACATTTTTTCTTCTAAGTATCCTAATGTTAATGTGGCATATGTAGGGGCCATCTTTGTGCCCATAGCCGTTCCTTTTATTTGTTTAAAATGTTTTCCATTAAACGCGAATGTATTATTTGATAGTACTATTTCTGTTGCTTCTGATATAAAATCCTTTGTAAATCTGCCGTTAATTTTTTCGGGATTTTTACTTATCCAGTAATCCACGGCTTTTAGTCCTAGGGAACTTGATATATTGCTGTACAAGTTTATTACATCCAGTATAACGAGTTTACTGTTATTTTTCACTTTCTCGGGTAAATGACGTAGAAAATCAAAGTCATCACGTACATAACTTTTGACTCCAGAACATAACGGTTTTAGAAGAATGTCTAGTAGATGACTAAGTCTCTGTGTTGGTGCCGATGGCCCACCTACTATCGGTCGAAATGTGAGATCTTCTGGATAGGGACAGATTATGTATTCCAAGCACTGGGATTTGATAGCCTCTTTTATTTGTCTAGATTTATAAATCTTTGGTAGTCCATAAAAATTGCTTTCATTGTATTCATAATCCGTTAAGAAGTCTTCCTCTTTCTCTGTTAAACTTGATGTAGTTTTATGGCATTTCAAAAGATTCTTAAATTTTTGCATTGTTTTTTTATCGTTGTTGTTTGGAATTTCTTCGTAGTACTCCGTATTCGATAGCATGTTCATTATATGAACTTTATAAAAATTAGAATCCATGTCTTACAAAAGAAGAGAAGAATGCACTTCAATCATTGTCGAGTGATGAATCCATTGTTATGAAAGAAGCGGACAAAGGTGGCGCAATTGTAATCATGGATTCTAATTTTTATAAAATTCATATTATGAACATGCTATCAAATACGGAGTACTACGAAGAAATTCCAAACAACAACGATAAAAAAACAATGCAAAAAATTCAGAATCTTTTGAAACGCCATAAAACTACATCAAGTTTAACAGAGAAAGCGGAAGACTTCTTAACGGATTATGAATACAATGAAAGCAATTTTTATGGACTACCAAAGATTCATAAATCTAGACAAATAAAAGAGGCTATCAAATCCCAGTGCTCGGAATACATAATCTGTCCCTATCCAGAAGATCTCACATTTCGACCGATAGTAGGTGAGCCATCGGCACCAACACAGAGACTTAGTCATCTACTAGACATTCTTCTAAAACCGTTATGTTCTGGAGTCAAAAGTTATGTACGAGATAACTTTGATTTTCTACGTCATTTACCCGAGAAAATGGAAAATAACAGTAAACTCGTTACACTGGATGTAATAAACTTGTACAGCAATATATCAAGTTCCCTAGGACTAAAAGCCGTGGATTACTGGATAAGTAAAAATCCCGAAAAAATTAACGGCAGATTTACAAAGGATTTTATATCAGAAGCAACAGAAATAGTACTATCAAATAATACATTTGCGTTTAATGGTAAACATTTTAAACAGATAAAGGGAACGGCTATGGGCACAAAGATGGCCCCTACATATGCCACATTAACATTAGGATACTTAGAAGAAAAAATGTATAAGAAAGTGGAAGAGCAATTCAACAAAGAGGTGAAACTTTATATTACTAACAACTGGAAAAGATATCTGGACGACTGTTTTATTGTTTGGAAATACAGTAACAACGAATTGTCTACCTTTAAAACATTACTGAATGAACTTAATCCTGATATAAGATTTACAGCGGAGGAAAGTACAGATAGAATTCCATTTCTGGATATCATGGTAATTAAGGAAAACGATGTCATTTTGACAGATATCTATTACAAGCCAACAGACACGCATCAGTATCTTCATTTTAATTCTTGCCATCCACGGCATACAAAAAGAGCCATCCCTTATAATTTAGCAAGGAGAATATGCACCATCGTAAATAAGGAAACAACCAAAATACAAAGACTACAAGAAATGAAAGAGTATCTACGGAAACAAAGTTATCCCGAAAAAATTATTGATAATGCTATTAAAAAAGCCATGGATTTAGACAGAGAGGATCTCCTCAACCCTGTGCAACAAAACAAGACGGATTCCAGGATCTTGTCTTTAGTAACGACCCATAATACCCAGAATACAAACATTGCACCGATTGTTTACCAACTCAACGACATTTTGAAAACCGACGAAACTATGTCTAAAATATTTAAAAATTGGAAATTCATAAACAGTAGGAGGCAGCCGAAGAACCTCAGACGAATTCTCACAGAGTCCTCTTTTAAAGAAACGACAGAATTTCATGTGACCAAGTGCCAGGATCCGCGTTGTGGTACCTGCCCATACATACGACAAGGACAAAGTTTCAACTTTAACGGGAAACAGTTTATCTTTAATAATAACATGTCATGTCAAACTTGAAATGTTTTATACGTTATACATGTAACATGTTCCGGTTGCGGGGAACTATATATCGGCGAGACGGGAAGTACCTTACGGGAAAGGATCAGAGTACACAAACAACAAATAAACGTACCGCAATATCGCAAACTCAAAGTCAGTGAACACTTAGACGTGTGCGGAAGTAGAACTTTTACTGTCTTTCCATTTTATAAGCTGCACAATTCTAATACAGTCGAAAGACGTGATAAAGAAAGACATCTTATAAGGACTTTCAAACCTAAATTAAATAGTTTAATGTAAAAGAATTGTTTCTTTACATGTAAATTATGTTACTGAGTCACATTCATTGCTTTGTTATTGTATGCTTTGTTAATGCATTGTTCTGTTAAAGTACGGGAAAAATATGACGTCAATCAAAGACTTATTAACGTTAAGTTACAGACCCTGAGACGTGCTACTACCCCTCAATTGCGCGTGACTTTCGTGCGCTTTCCGTTTCGTGCAAACCGTGAAGCGTTTCGTGTAAACCGTGCAGCGTTTCGTGCAAACTGTGTAGCGTTTCGTGTAAACCGTGCAGCGTTTCGTGTAAGCTCCAAAGCGTTTCGTGCAAACCGTGCAGCGAGCGTGCGAAAAGCGTGTGAGAAACGTGCGACTTTCGTGTAAGAACCGTGAGAGAAACGTGTGACTTTCGTGCAAGAATCGTGTAAGATTCATTCGGAAGTCATTTCATTTTAAATATGGCTATCGATGGGTCAGGATGTCAAAATGTATTAATATTTTATTTTTGAATTAGTTATGCTTGTGATATTTTAGGAGTAAAAACCCCCAAAAAATGGAACAACAAAATGACATTACACGGTAATGTATAATATATATTTGTTTGTTTTCTTTTCCTTCTATAGAAAATGTGTTCA